TTTGCATATTTAAGCCTTTTACATATATAGACTAAGAGGCCCGGTGCACGAAATTTGTGCACTTGGGAGGGTCCCTCAGCCCAGCCTGCACATTCTCAAAGTCCGGGAGCCCTTGGGGGATGTCCAACTGACGGCTTAGGCCCTGCTCCCTCCAGCAGTTGGACATCCTTATTTCTGCTGTGGAGGCGGGAGAGGCTCCCACCACCACCACTGTGCTCGTCAGCCATGAGCCTGGCTTCTGGCTGAGTGGCGCTGCCCCTGTGGGAGCGCACTGATCACCAGGGGGCAGCTCCTGCATTGAGCGTCTGCCCCCTGATGGTCAGTGCGCGTCATAGCAACCGGTCATTCCGCCGTTCGGTCGATTTGCATTATTAGCCTCTTATTATATAGGACAGATATGCAGTTGTTGCCATTTTGTTATTCATATGTTCCTCTCTTTTTTCTTTCTTCTTAAAGAAGTCCCTTTAACATTTCTTATGATACTGGTTTGGTGATGATGAGCTCCTTTATCTTTTTCTTGTCAGGAAAGCTCTTTATTTCTCATTCAATTTTAAATGATAGCCTTCCTGGGTACAGTAGTCTCAGTTGTAGGTCCTTGCTTTTCACCACTTTGAATAATTTGTGTCAATCCCTTCTGGCCTGAAAATGTTTCTGTTAAGAAATCAGCTGACAGTCTTATTTGAGCTCCTGCATCCTAAATAACTGCCATATGAGAACACAACATGACGGTGTGTATGTACCAGGAAGTGAGTATCTACCTGACACCAAATGCACTGAACTTCCAGCCTCCAAAACTATGAGAAATAATATTTCTGCTGTTTATAAACTACCGATTCTATGGGTGTTTTATTTATTTTTTGTTAGTAGCCTGAATAGACTAAGACAGGAAGTTATCACTATTCATGTGATTATGTAACAAATTCATGAAATTCATAAGCCTATGAATTATAGACATTTAACTATAACATTTATATAAGTAAAACCACTATACATAATTTAATAGTCAGTAAATATTCATACGCTTTCTTCTCTCACCTTCCCATCTTCTTCACTTCCTCCTGTTTTAGTTTTCTCTGGTTCCCATTGTCTTTTTTTTTTTTTTTTGCACACTTTGCAAAAGTATGTTCTCCCACTTCTACTTCCCATCTCTGATAAAAATATTGCTTCCACACCCTAAAATTTCTGTTAATAGCTTGTCTTTAATACTTTAGATGCTATTTTTAAAATGAGCCAGTCCTAAGAAACACCTTGAGTCTGTTTTATCAATTTCTTTTGTTAAATTATCACTACTTTCTTGCTTTAATAAGCTTCTTATATGCTGGAAGTAAAGTAATTATCCTATATAATAAAGAGCTAATATGCAAATGGTTGTCATGCCCTCACGCCATCACGTAGTAACAGCTCAGATAGTCAACACTGGGGAGAGAGGAATGGGGACCAGCCAGGCACAAATGAGCTAGCAAGAGAGGAATGGGGACCAGCCAGGCTGCGGCCCGGGAGAGGGACAAGCCACCCGCCCCACGGACAAGCCGCACGCCCCACAGTCCCGGGCGCCAGCGGCTGCACCTGAGCCTGCGGCCCAGGAGAGGGACAAGCCACCCGCCCCACGGTGCCAGGCGCCAGCACCTGTGGCTGCGGCTCAGGTGAAGCCACCCGCTCATGGTCCCCTGCGGCTGTGGCCGGCCCAGATGAAACTGGCCCGAGTCCTGGTGCCTAAGGCCTGCCAGAGGGAGGGAAGCCCAGGTCCCAGGTGCCTGCGACCAGCCGGAGGAGGGAATCCTGGGTCCTGGGTGCGAGGCAAGGCAGAGGCGGTTAGGAGCGATAAGGCCAGCAGGGGAGCAGTTAGGGGCAATCAGGCTGGTAGGGGAGCAGTTAGGGTGATCAGGTAGGCAGGCAGAGGTGGTTGGGGGCGATCAGGTAGGCAGAGGTGGTTAGGAGCCATCAGGCAGGCAGGCAGAGGGGTTAGGGGCGATCAGGCAGGCAGGCAGGCGAGCAGTTAGGAGCCAGCAGTCCGGATTGTGAGAGGCAGTTGGACATCCCCCAAAGGATCCTGAATTGGAGAGGGTGCAGGCCAGGCTGAGGGAACCCACCCCTCTCCTCACCGCCCCCCTGGTGCACGAATTTCGTGCACTGGGCTTCTAGTATATTGATAAAAGATCTTTAAGCCTTTAAGAATGTATTAAGTATTCTACAATATAGAATGTATAGCAGAGTGCATCAAATATATACTGACGTGGGGAGATCATTGTAAAACATACTTTTGTAATTAGATAAAAGGTAGCAGCTTATTTAATATTTCTTTCTCCAAGTTTAAATATACTTAAAATGTTCACAGAAAGATATAAGCCACATATATAAAATACTATTTTCTCCATACAATATATTATGATAGTTTAGAAGTCAGAATTAATTGATCTTTGAATATCACAGCCTTTGGCACTAATAAGAAGAAAAGTTAAATTCTAGAGATCCTATAGAAGATTATGGTATTACAAAAAGATGTGTGCCAGTTTTATTTTATAATATAGAATTTTAGGAATTTTTTAAAATTTGAGAAATTTTATTTTCATTTGCATAAATTTTAGTGAAATAATAATATCACTTAAAGTGTTTAGTCTCTTATTCAGTTTTCCCACTCTGCAGAATTCTGAACAGACTTTCATGTCATTAATTTGGCCATCAGACATAATAGCAATTGCTGCCATTGATGCGTTTGAGCTAAGCACTTGTTTTTTTAGCTCACAATAATCCAATGAGGCACACATTCTTGTTCCCATTTTCCAGATGCAGAAACTAAGGCTCAGCATGTTTCGCTTGCTTTCCCAAGATCACAGTCAGGACAGTCAGAATACCATGGGCCAGATGAGATCCCCACTCTCCCTGCCCACCCACAGTATAACTGAGTGTGGCAGCACAGCCAATGACCTACCTGATACTCAACCTCTCTTCTTCCTTACTAACAAAACCCCAATTTTATTTGAGTAGCAACATACATGTTTAAAAATCCTTAATTTCACTGAAGTCTCTTTAGGGGAGGTGCCTCTATATAATAGATTATGGCCAAACCTAGAAGTCCTGGAGAGGGAATTCCTTCCCAGATGAAAAGTTCCCTTGGAGAAAATCCTCAGACCCTACATTATTCCCCAAGAATTGGGCCTGGAGAATTCAGCTTCTACCTCTTAACCACAAGAACAACCCCACACTACTGCTACAGACTTCAGAAAGAGCCTGGCTCCCTGGACTTCTTGTGACAGAAGATAAATTCAACCCCATTTCTTCAAACACTCTAATATAGTTCCCTACTATTTGTAATTGAAAGCCTTCCCTAACCAATTTGTCAAGTAAGAATTTCATTGCCGCCACAACCGGTTTGGCTCAGTGGATAGAGCGTCAGCCTGCAGACTCAAGGGTCCCGGGTTTGATTCCGGTTGAGGGCATGTGCCTTGGTTGTGGGCACATCCCCAATGGGGAGTGTGCAGGAGGCAGCTGATCGGTGTGTCTCTCTCATCGATGTTTCTGACTCTCTATCCTTCTCCCTTCCTCTCTGTAAAAAAACAATAAAATATATTTTTTAAAAAAAAGAATTTCATTGCCTGAAGTAGGTCATAATTTTATTTCACAAATCAGACATTTTTTAAAACCTTGAAGCTATGAGTCTGAGCTAACCTACTGGGCTCTGTCAATGAGTAAACCCAGAAAGGGCACACAAAAAATTTTAATGATTACCTATAGGAGGCAGGAAAAATGGGGCAGATAGTGCCAAAGGTGAGAGACAGATTTCTCAAAAAACACCTGATTACATTGTTGGGATGTTTTTAAAGCATGAATATATAGTCTATTCAAACTATGTAAATAATGTTTTAAAAGCAACAAAATAAATCAAGGAAGAATATATTATCCTTATATTTTTCTGTCAAGAAATCAACAAAATATTACCTTTTTTGGGACTAGCAAACAATTCAAGGTGCTTCTCTGTAATAGTCTTCTTTTCAGCTGCTAATGACTGTAGGCAGATAAAAATAAAAATAATATTAACAACAACAATGTAGTAATTTATGTGATAAGGGCTAAAAACCAACGATATTTTGTAAAATATTCAAAACCTTAACTACATCCTCCTTAACATATTCTTGTTTTCCTTTATTTATATTTACCAATAATTATTCCCAAAGTACATACTCTTCATATACTTATAAATGTATTTTTATATTTTTCCTGAATCTAAACAGAAAACTGTCTAACATTTAGTTTACAATAGTATTGCTCCATATTGTATTTCAAAGTTACATTTACAAAAAATAACCTGAATATCTCATTATATATCTGAATATATAAGCATTGCATAATTATACTTCTTGTAAAGAGGATGCTAAGTGCTCTTCTGAAAATGTTCTTCTCAGAAAATTCTCAGTAGGTATCCTTCATATATAAAAAAAAAAGTATAAAGGTTTTACATGGCATAAAGAGGTGAATACTAACATGACATAACTATTAAAGGAATTCAAGGATGAGAAGAAAATGTAATATGGCTTCCTACTATATCATGACAGTATTTTCAAAGAAAATAAGAAAGGGAACTCCAAAGAAATAAAAGTACAGTGGCCTGAACACTCAGATCTAAACAATTTTACTATAGTAAACCCTCAATGTTGCAGTCTACAATTTAACAGAATTTGGATTTAATGAACAAAACTTCCGGTCTGGATGTTGTTTTAAAACACCCTGTTAATTTCAAACTGCTTTTAACCAACATTTGCTTATAATTAAATTAACAGTTGTTGTTTTTTTGATTCACTATTATTTTTAACAAATTTTAGTGAATAGGCTATATTTGGGGGAAAAACACTATAGTAATTTTGCCAACACAAATAAAGACTACATTATCTACAAATATAGTCTACACTAGAGGCCCAGTGCTCAAAATTTTGTGCACTGGGGGGGTAGAGGGGGTGTGCCTCAGCCTGGCCTGCGCCCTCTTGCAGTCCGGGACCCCTCACTCCTTACAGCCCGCCTGCAGTGGAGACTGGAGAGGCTCCCGCCACCGCCCCTGAGCTCGCCAACAGAGAGCCGGGCTTCTGGTTGAGCAGCACTCCTGAGTTGAGCATCTGCCCCCTGATGGTCAGTGTGCATCATAGCGACCAGTTGTTCCACGGTTTGGTCAATTTGCATATTAGGGTTTTATTATACAGGATATTTAAATCCAAGAGTCACCACTTATAAACAATGTTTGGTGAATGATTAGCATGGGATCACGCCACATTGCACACTGCTTGTTGTCGTGTGGTGTGACTTTCTGGAGCAGTTTTAACGTGTGCCAGCCAATGTCCTTAGGCGTGCTAAGTCGTGCCCCAGCCGTGTGCATTTGTTTGCTGGAGATGATTGGTAAATGCATGCATTTACTAGACCTATTCAGTATAAATTTAAAAATTATAGTAATATGTACAAAAAACTTTTCTGTGAAATTAAACTTTTCATACGAACTTTAATTAAACAAACATGTCTACATAAGTAAAAACAGGTAAACTAATTTGTCAATTTTTTAACATGCACATTCGAAAACCCGACTTTATTATATAACGAACTTTCAGCTTAAAGGACACCCCTCGCCCGAATTAGTACTTTACCCGAGTCCCAGGAGAATCCTGAAATCCTTCTTCACACCTGAGCCATGCTTCTGCGAGGGAGGCCGTGGCCCCCACTGCCCTGAGGCCTGCTCTGCTGGCCTGCGGTGGACACTCTCCCGGAAAGGAGGGGTATTCCACAAGATCCCGGTTTCTTTTTCTCTGTAGTGATAATTTTTAAAGAAAAAATAATCAACTTCACTAAGTTGACAATTAACAACATGGAAACCCAGAATGGCAATGGTGAAGGCATATTTTTAAATGTCTCTGAATCCCCATGTGAAGGAGTAATGTGACAGCAAAACCAAAAGTACAGAGACAACAATTACAACTTGTCGACAAAGTCCAAAATACAAATGGGTCAGAACAAACAATCCATCCTCCAAACTCATGCATGGTATCATATCCGAAAGGCAAGAAGCTGAGAGAAGCAACGAAGGGCCTGTGCACAAAGACAACCGGTGTTCACTACAAAGTGGAGCAGGCGACCTGAGAACGGTATCTGCAAAGGGGTGGGAACAAGGTCCCAACCAAGATCCGAAGGGGTGGGGCAGTCTGGGCTCTCAAACAACCAGTCAGCTGGGACTACCTCCCCCAAAAGGGCCCAATACTGAGGAGAGACTGCTGGTAGTCCACAGTGGAGGCCCAGTTCCCGTAACGAGCCTTAACGAGCAATCCGCAGGCACCTGAGGCTGCGTGGCGGCGCCCCCTGCCTGGTGGAGCTTGACAGGGGACTTCAGGCCATGCCCCCCACCCTGGTGCCAGGCTGGGGGACCTCAGGCCATGCTCCCTGCCCAGCAGAGCTTGACAGGGTACCTCAGGCCATGCCCCCGGTCCCACTGCTGGGCCGGGGAACCTGAGGCTCTGCGCCCCCACCCAGCGGGGCTTGACGGGGAACCTGAGGCTCTGCGCCCCCACCCAGCGGGGCTTGACGGGGAACCTGAGGCTGTGCGCCCCCACCCAGCGGGGCTTGACAGGGAACCTGAGGCTGTGCGCCCCCCACCCAGCGGGGCTTGACGGGGGACCCAAGGCTGCGCCCCCCACCTGGAGGGGCTTGACGGTGGTGGGGCTGGCTGAGTCTGGGTCTCACCCAATGAGGGTGGGGTCGGCCGGTTCTGGGTCTCCTGCATTTTCGAAGCGCGTGCAGGTGGTGGGCCGGGATTGACTCTGGGTCCCGTGGCATGCCCCAGACTTTGACAGGAGGCAGATTTTCATATACATTTTACTAATTTTCTTTCATCTCTGACACTTTTATTATAGAGAAAGGGCAAATAGCAACATTAAAATATTTCCTCTAACTCCCTTTTAATGTGCACGCATTTCGTGCACCGGGCCACTAGTGTTGTGCTAAAAGTCAAAATTGAAGTAAGAGGCAGATTGTGTAACTTCTATTTTTAAATGAGGTGTTTAATTATGGAAGGCATGGTTAATAATGTTAATAGTGTTTTAATGACTTTCATTTATTTTTTCAGCCAATAAGCAAGAAATCCTGTCACCATAGCCAAAATCTAATATAATTCCTCCTGTTATACAAGAGTCACTCTGTTGCTGTATTAAAAATGTCAATGCACAACATGTATTAAAATTCACCTGTATTTGCTTGACATCTTTTGTTTTTAAATATATTTTTATTGATTTCAAAAAGGAAGGGAGAGGGGGAGAGACAGAAACATCAATGATGACAGAGAATCATTGATTGGTTGCCTCCTGCAAGCCCCTTACTGGGGATCCAGCCCACAACCCCAGCAAATGCCTGTTAGGTCTGGTCCAAGAATTGAATTGATACCCCCTCCCCTGGGAACTGACCTTCAGACCACTTCACAATGGACATTCCACTTGCTTAGACCACATCCCACTTGCTAAGACCATTATCTGCCGCCCCCCGCCCCCCCCCCCACTTCCCAGAATCCGGACCTGCACAGAGAATTCTCTGCCCAGAAGAAGCCCACCAAAAGTCCTTTAAAAACCCCTGACTCCTGTCACTGGGGTGCTGGAGCCATCTGGGGCTCAGTCACCTGGTGTGTGGATGATGGATAAATCATAAATTTCCCCCCCCTTACATTTTCCCGCTGCCCTTCTTGTACGGTCCTCCGGGAGAACCCCAAGCACACCACAATCCAGTAGGACACTAACCCCTAACCCCCGGTGGCCGGGCCCCGTCACATCTTTAAAGATCTCTCTCCAAACTGCCTCAGTAATATCTCTCCCATCAAAGACTGGTGAGAATATGTGGAGTTTTCCTTCATGTGTGAGTAACACCTATTAAGAAGGATAGTAAATAAAAGCAAATCGTAATTTTAAACCTTAGAGAACTATTGCAGTGTTGAAATGCGAGCTAGCACCTACATACACTGCAATAGTAATGGAACAGCAAACTCGAGAAAACAAACCCTCTCGTTAAAAATAAAAATATCATCATCTAAGTCACAGTGGCATTCACATATGTGCATGAATAGTCACCCTTTCTCTGCACTGTTCTAGCTCTCTGCTTTGCTCGCATGCGGGGCAAGGGTGACTTGTCCCTATAACTTGTGCGGTGAATGGATGCAGCCGCCAGTGCCACACCAGGGCAGCTTAGTCCAATGCCCACGAGGCTTTTCCCAGTGGCTTTGCATTCCTCAACTCCCCCCTTGACTGTGAAAGCTACATAACATGAAAGGAAACCCACTAAAGCTGGTTTCATGGATGTCTTGAGATTAATATCTTTTTCAGAGATCCCGCCCAGGAAACATTAAATCCTCTGCTTTCCAACCACAGCTGCCCTAGAGCATCGATTTTCAGCTGCACCGTGCACGCTGGTGTGCCATACAGCACAGTATGTTAACGTCACCCATGCAATAGCTGGTGTGCCACCCAGCGCAGTAAATGTCACCCATGCAATAGCTGGTGTGCCACCCAGCACAGTAAATGTCATCCATGCAATAGCTGGTGTGCCACCCAGCACAGTATGTTAAACGTCACCCATGCAATAGCTGGTGTGCCACCCAGCACAGTGTGTTAATGTCACCCATGCAATAGCTGGTGTGCCACCCAGCACAGTGTGTTAATGTCACCCATGCAATAGCTGGTGTGCCACCTAGTGCAGTATGTTAATGTCACCCATGCAATAGCTGGTGTGCCACCCAGCACAGTATGTTAATGTCACCCATGCAATAGCTGGTGTGCCACCGAGCACAGTATGTTAATGTCACCCATGCAATAGCTGGTGTGCCACCCAGCACAGTATGTTAATGTCACCCATGCAATAGCTGATGTGCCACCCAGCAGAGTATGTTAATGTCACCCATGCAATAGCTGGTGTGCC